AATGTTTGCTGCTAGCAGTCACAGGTCGGCTACATGCCATTGTAGGCAGTCCCATTATACCATCCCCTCCATAAACTTATCAAGTCCAGTCTTGAAGACAGTTAGGTTTTTTGCCCCCACTACTCCCCTTGGAAGGCTGTTCCAGAACTTCACTCCTCTGATGGTTAGAAACCTTCATCTAATTTCATGCCTAAACTTGTTGATGGCCAGTTTATATCCATTTGTTCTTGTTTTCATACTGGCGCTGAACTCTCCTCTCCCTCCCTGGTATTTATCCCTCCAATGTGTTTATAGAGAGCAATCATATCTCCCCTCAGCCTTCACTTGGTTAGGCTAAACAAGCCAAGCTCTTTGAGTCTCCTCTCATAAGGGAGGTTTTCCATTCCTCGGATCATCCTAGTAGCCATTCTCTGCACCTGAATAGCTCCAGCAAAGCATCCTTGTTCAACAAAGCACTTAAGCACATGCTTAACTTTAGACAGATGCTTAAATCCCATTGACCTCCATGAAACATTAGTGTGTGATTAAAGTTAAGCACATGCTTAAGTGCTTTGGTGAATCAGCAGTTCTATGAATGTGAAGCTTAAAAGGTATGTCTCTTTCTGCTTTGGGGTATAGTGGGGAATGAGGTTAAAAACTAACCCCTTTCTCTCTCTTAACACTAGTCTTCAATATTGTGAATGCTCTGCTAGCATGACTATTATATTCTTTGGCCTAAGAGCTCCTTTTAGCTTAACTCTACATCCCCACTAACTAGGTCTTTATAGGTGACAGACAAAAGGGGGGAAAAGAGTTGTCCTGCTTTTTACATCGTTTTGAGATTTAAATAAGCATTATGGGTTGAACCTCTGGTCTAAGTGGCCCCACTCTCCAATTACACCTGGGTCACACGCATTGGAAGTTTGCAGGTGGTTTGAGCCATAACCTGGAATCCAAGTGTGATCTACTAACAGCAGGCAGCATCAGGGTCACTTTCAAGTAATTACAGGCCTCACTGGATGGACACTAAATTGGGGCTGGTGGGACTGTGGAGACCCTGTGCACATAATTCATTGGTCAGATATGAACACAGAAAATCCCTAAGCACTCATCACATTCTTGGGTGGCGCCATTGGCAGATATGGTTGAATAATTTTTCAAGTTACATATTTTCTTGTATGTTTTTAAACTATTAAAATAACTATAAGCCCTGAAAGGGTTCGTAGTGGTTTTTTACTGCTTGTTTGTTACCTTAGAACTATCAGGATTATCAATTTTGACTTCCTTGTTTTTGCTGGAGGATTTCTGTGCTGATTCTGCTATGTAGGAAGGTAGCTTCTCATCCTTTAAATTAAAGATTGAGATGTTGGATATTTGTTAATAAGATTTACTCTCATGTGCTGAGGTTAAATGGGGGCTAATAAAAGAAAAAACAGAATTCTAGACAGTCAGAATCAAACTGATTTCTCTTTTCAATTAATCAGATTTATAGCTGTAGTACATGTAGTGTCATAACCGTACCTATTCTCCACCAAAGTAGGCTTAGACCTGCATTTCTTATGGAGGAAACAAGCAGGGAAAACAAATCAAATTTAAACAAAAAACAACAAAGAGAAAAAAATACCAGGCCTTCTTGATATATTATAACCCAACAAAAAAGGCACAAACCTATTTTTAGTCCCTTTGCAAGCTGATGTCCTCACTGACTATGTTCTCTGTAATAGAACTGTGTTTTCCGACTCTCAGATACCAAGACTGCATATTATTGGTGCTCCTATTAACCATCTTGTCTTCCTTTGCATTCAAGTCTGGAGGGAAAATTGGAAGAGTCCGTCCATGCTCAGGACAACCTGCAATGAAAACACTACATCTTCAAGGGAATCTCCATGCACAGGGACATGCTCCATGACAATCAATGGATTAATGGACGATCTGTGTGAAGATAGAGAGGGTGAGGAGTTACAGCCCCTCTCTAACTGTGCAGTGTTTTCCCTTCTGCTGTTTGTTAACTCCCCTCTTCTATAACAACCTGAAAATGCTATGGGCCAGAATCTGGCTTCTTTACTGTATGAGCAGTCCCTGTTGAAATCAATGGAATGACTCACAGAGGAAGGTACTACTCAGGATGAATAAGAGTGTCAGAATCTGGCCCTGAAGATATATTTGAACCAATATTTACAATTCCTAGTTAGTAATTATAATTATTGATACATACCCTGTGCTTGGAATAGAACTGGAATGTGCAGGGCTGCTTTTAAAAATGACATTAGATACCTTAGAGCAGTGATTCTCAACCTGTGGTCCATGGATACCTGGGGGTCCGCAGACTATGTTTAAGGAGTCTGCGAAAGACTTAGACTGAAAACTGACTGAACAGAATTCAGCTATATATCTATACACAAACACACACACACACACACACACACCAGATTTCCGAAGGGATCCGCACCTCCATTAGAAATTCCCAAAGGGTCCTCAAATGAAAACCACTGCCTTACAGCTTCCTGGTGTTTTCAAAAAACGCCAGAGGCCAAGGATTTTTTACAAGGAGAGGGAAGGACTTTGGCAGCCTGGGCCCTTTACCAAATGACACATGTAGCCTTATTGCCCTAGATCTATAATTTGGTGATAAATATTACTTGTTAATAAATATTTTTATAATGCAAATATTTTGCTTAAATCTGTAGCAGGAAGCCAAGCAGGAGGGAGCTAGGGAAGGTTCTAAACAGAAGCTCCTATGGTGAAGGAGAAAGAGAATGAGTGTAGTTTTAGGGATAATACTGTTTCCCTTATTCTAATAAAGTTACTTGTTCACCGTGGCCTTCTGTAGACTAGGATCTAAAGTACGCTGGTACCATGTTCAAGCTAACACTTGTAACCAACACACACTGGAGGTCTAGGCTAGACAAGGCCGGGTTCCCTTAACACGTGTTGAACTGGTCAAGTTAAAGTCTAGGTTTCCCCTTTGCCTAGACAAGGGCTGTGTTAGAAGGAAGTACATTTTCTGTGTCTCTCTAAACCAGGGAGGGTGTATCATTTGGGGTGCAATTATTCAGACTAGTGAGAGGTTGTGTCACTTCTTGCCATGTCACCCTGGGTGCCTTTAATGCTCTGCTGCTGTGGCTCACAGGCCAGACACCAACAGCCAGCAAACACACATGCAGCTCCTGAGTGTGTGCGCACTGTGCAGCCCTGGTTCAGCGCTCTGAACCCAGCAGACAACAGCCCCACCCTGGTCTTCACCAGATTCATTACTACGCACCCAGTTTCTGTGGAAAACATGTTTTTAATGTCATTTCCCCACCAGAGGTAGGAAAACTATTTTTTCCTTGTATCACTCTTCAGTAGTAGTGGCATAAGAAGCCTGTTCTACTCTCAGAATAGATTATCCAAATTCTCCCTCTCCTTTATTTAACTGGAAACTGATCGTATTTGCATAAGTGGCAACTTTACCTTTTCTATTCTTTTTTCAATGAGGAGACTTCTTCTCTGCTATGTCACTTGCTCTGTGCTTGTTGTTGTTCCCTATCCTCTATTCATCACATTAGATTGTAGGATTTTCATGGCAGGGACCATGTTACAACTCAGAGAGGCCCTTTCTCAAGCCGTTAGGAGCTACTAAGATACAAAGAAAAAGAAGAATCCTGTCTTTTACACACACACACACACTATTTAGGTCACTGATTTACCGTATATATTTGTTCACAAGTTAAATTTTCTTAGTAAAAACGGGAAGCATCGGAGAAGGGGTCAGCGTATGAACGGGTATAGAGAGGGGGAGAGGTGGGACACAGCCCCACCCCCCAACAGAGGGGGCAAGGAGAGGCAGCACAGTCAGCAAAGCCAGAAGGGAAGAGATGGGGCCAGAGTCTCTCCACTTCTGGCCATGCTGCTCTCCCCCCAGTCTCAGAAGCAGCTGCAGCTCCAGGGCCGGCAGGCTGCGGCCGCACCACCCAGCCCTGCTTGCTGAAGCACGCTGCGGCCACGCTGCACAGCCCCACCTGCCGGAGCATGACTCCCGGCCCGGGCTGTTGCAGCAGGCTGCAGCCGCACCGCCCAGACTGCTGGAGCAGTTCTGGCCAGGCCAGAGACATCCTACCCTGGCCCGCCCCAGCTAAGGTGAGAAGGGATGGGATGGGGAGAGTGTAGGGGTCCCGGGCTAGGAGTGGGGTCATGTGGGGGTGGTCACAGGGGTTACTCCCCTGACCCCCAGCTTCTCCCCCCCAAAATTTCTCCACCAATTGCTGTCCTGGCCCATCAAGGTAAGCCGCTGGCGGGCTGGGACACTTTGTTTACTTAGGTTTACCTCTGTGCCTGTGGATGCTCGAGGTAAACAAACCATCTCGGCCCGCCAGCAGCTTATCCTGATGGCCCAGGAGCCAAAGTTTGCCAACCCCTGAAGTATAGGGTCAGCTTATGAATGGGTCATAAAACATTTCCATTTTTACTTATCCATCTTGGGGGAGTCGGCTTATAAATGAACCGGCTTATGACCGAGTATATATATATATACACACACACACACACACACACACACGGTCATAAGCCGGTTCATTTATAAGCTGATACATATATCAGTATTTCAGGTTAAGGGAAAACAACCGAACAAGCAAGAACAGTCACAGGCTGCATCTCAACAACTGAGAACAAAATGGCAGCTGCTGACTTCAGGCTCCTAGAAAGGCAAACTTGAGGCACACAGGAAACAAAAGCACCAGTTTCACAGTTAGACGGGGGAGCATGCACGACATCACTTTGCTCTAAGCAATGGTTCCCTAAATGAGCATTGAACCCATTCAACGATAATTAGTGGAATGTAAGACACACTGTAAAATGCAAGACAACTGACAGCTGTGACATTGCACCAAGAATATTTAATTTTCCAAAATGTACTGATATGAACTGGGAAGCTATTTGCTTCCCTGCAATATGTGATGGGAGTAATTAAACCATTTGTGATGCTGGGTAATGATCTTCTTTACCCCACTACCCCCAGGAAGAAGCGAGTGTCTACTCTGCCCCCCAGGGTGGATGCTCCACAGGGGGAGATGTTACTACTTCTCAGAGCAATCGGGGACCTGGGATGCCAGTATGCGAAATTGTTCAGGCAGGAAATCCCAGCTGCTTGTTGTTGAAGATGAGGCTGAGATGGTAAGTCTGGGAACATCCCACACAGTACCCAGCAATCAGCAAACCCTCCATGTCATTCAGACACTTGACTGAAAAATACAAATATACCCTAGGTTTTATCAGAACCTCTGACCAAGCAGGCTCTCCCTGAGAAACTGTCTGTGAATGGGCCTTTATTTCCCCACAAACAAGAGCCCTACTTGGGAAGACTCCAAGAGGGAGCAGGGCCTGGCCTTTCTTCCCTCTGGCTGCGATCAGTCCTCTGATCGAGTACTAAAAAGTTGCTCTATCAACTTAGTAGGCTTCCCTGGGTCTGCGTGAGGCAGATGGGGAGGTGCTTCAGGTGCAAGTGTAGAAAGCAGAATAAGTTGTGATCTGGGAGGAGGTTGGGGGAGGCGATCACGGCTTTTTCAGTCTGCTAAGGCAGGAAAGGCTTTGCTTTGCTGTTGAGTGTGAGTTTCATGCTGTTGAGGACCTGCCCAGTCTCCCTTTGGAAATGTAGAGGGTAGATTCCCTCTGCAAGGTAGAAAATGCCCGATTTTCATGTCTGGCAGTTCACTCGGGGTCTGGCTGTTTTAAGCGACTCTTATGTTCTCCCAAGTGCAAGACTTTTGGAAAAAGCAGCTATAAGGATTGCCATGTGCCCTAAGGCTGTTCCAACCAATCCAGTTACCGGTCTGGCTGAGTCCTTGTCTTTCACATCTATTCCGGTCTCAGTTCAAAATGGGCATGTGATTGCATGAAGAATGAGGCAGAGCTGAAATGCCCTATCAGTGTGTAATGTATTTCTGTTTAATCCACAGGAATTTATAGCAACCAGAACAGAACAGAAATATTTCTGGATTGGATTAAACCTTCAAGAGAAAGAGGGAAGATGGATGTGGCTTGGTGTCTCCCAGTTAGAAGGGCAGAGGCTGAGCTTGTGGGTGGATTTTTCTTTCTATAAATGTTAAGTTACATTAATATAAATGCAGATACAGCTCTGACCCATAGCTCCCAGCTAAGTAATTCCCATGCTGCATGAAGGCCTGATCCTCAATTTCAAATCACTGCATTCCATTGCTGCTTAGTCCCTATCTACACGATTGTTTGGGGGCTATTTTGTAGAAGTTTTGCTAGGTCTGTATAGCAGCCCCATAAAAAACCTCTAGTGTTTGTCTGTACTAAGGTTATGGCCACATTGTAACTTAAGTTAATTGATTGCCAATTAACTCAATTCAAGTTACACAACTATACATGTTAGTGTAGACACTGTACAAACATTTGTTCCTTCTGGTCTTGGGTCACCCTACACTGAACTCTAGGAACAAGTGTTTAGGGAGTGTCTACATCAGCATGTACCATCACGCTAATTAATTGTTGATTAGAAATTATAGGAACAAAAGTACAGGACCAAACACTTCAGTCTAGACACAGCTCTAGTGTAACCATGGGGCACCAGAGGAAAAAGAAAAGTGATTTGTATTTGTGGAGTTTACCTTGGGGCTTCCACGTGGGGAGAAATCTTCACCCCTGTGACATCAACAGGAATGCAAAACTCCCATTGACTTCAGTGGAACCAGGATTTAACCCTTGAGGTTTGTACTAGTGCAGCCACACTGGTGTAGTTACAACTGCTCAAAGCAGCCTCTTCCCTAGACAGGACCTTACTTGTCATCAAAGTGAAGTTGATGATCCCTTTATTCTCTTCTTTGGAAATCAGGTGGCTTTGGGCAAGGTAAGGATACCCGAGCTGGGAGAATAAGGTGCACTGATACATATGGAAGTGCAGTGGGCACTGCAGGGGCACAGTTATTCAAATGGTTTAAAAAAATGTACAAAAATAATTTATAACTTGAAAAAATTTTCAACCACGTCTGGCAATGGCACAAACCTAAGAATGTGCTGAGTGCCTGGGGATTTTCTGTGTTCATATTTGACCAATGTATTATGTTGCCAGGGTCACCACAGTCCCACCAGCCTCAATTAGTGTCCATCAAGTGAGGCCTGTAAGTACTTGAAAGTGACCCTGATGCTGCCTGCTGTTAGTATTAGATCGCACTTGGACTCCAGGTTATGGCTCAAACCCACCTGTAAACTTCCAACATGTATGAACCAGATATTATTGGAGAGTGGGACCACTTGGGTTGACTCTCTGGTCTGTCATGCAGACCAAACATTTGGATTCATGTAGCTGAAAACTCCTCCCCGCCTCCTCGCTATTAAGACTCACCATTTCTCTTTTGTGGAAGGGTTTTCCTTCTCTTGCTGATAATGTTCATGGAAATGAGGACCTCTGAATTCCTCCTACCAGTGTCTGCTCTCTGTGAATCCTTGTGCAAATCCCATCTGTCCAATCAAATGGATTGCAATGAGCCTGCATATGCCAGTCTAGCTGCATAAGAAAAAAACACACACACACAAAACTAAAAAACCCTGGATCCCTCCTCCCAAATTCCGTTCCTGTCTTTTCATTCAGTACCAAATTCTGAGCTAACCTCTCAGTGAGCAGCCTTTGTTTTCTCTTTAGGGTGATGGTAAATGGAACTGGAGATGGCAAAAACTGTTCTGCTTTCAACAAGGAGAAGTTACACCCTGAGAAATGCCTGATTTCGCACAGATGGATCTGCAAGAAAAACGCAACCTCGCTGGCTCCCTAGAATAACCCAGAACATTAGACACCGTCCCTTGTAGAATGATGCATTTTCTTGTACTTTGTGATATTTTAATGTAAATAATCATAAGAGCATTGCACAGAAACCATAGCATTCGGCAATCCTGTGTCGATTGACCACTGGCTGTATTAGGGATAGGTTTGTATTGTAACCCCCTGTAGCTCCTGGTGTCCAAGGATAGACGATGTTTAGCTAAACAGATTATAATAACTGATGCACGATAAAATGCCTGTGACTATCTTTTCTGTATTAAGAAATGACTCAAACACCTCTTTTTATGCTTACTTTCAACTTTTGTATTATTAAGAGTTTCAAGTAGAAACTCTTGTGCAATGAAAGGTTATTTCCTGCCCCTTGGTGCAGCTGCATTAGTGGGAACCATTTTGGTTCCTCTGACCAGCCGTGCCCAAAGATGACTTATGTGTACATTGTGAGTAAATGTCAATATTAATTAACTGGACAGGAAAAATACTATTCTAACACATGGGGAACTAAGGCTCTTTGGCCCAGATCATAGAGTCATAGACGTGTACAACTGGAAGCGACCTCAATAGCTCATCTACTCCTGTCCCCTGTACTCAAGGCAGGACTAAGGAATAACTAGACCGGGGGTTGGCAAATGGGAGTTGTGGGATGCGAACTCCAACCACTGGCAGCTGTGAGAGGCTGTGCCTGCGGATGGTCAATGTAAACAAAGTGTCTTGCGGTCTGCCAGCGAACTACCCTGATGGGTCACGTGCCGAAGCTTGCTGACCCCTGAACTAGACCATTCCTGACAGGTGTTTCTTTAACCTGTTCTTGAAAACCTCCAATAATAGAGATTCCATAACCTCCTTAGGTAAACTATTCCCGTGCTTAGCTACCCTGACAGTAAATTAGTTTTTCCTAATTTCCACCCTAAACCTCCCTTGCTGCAATTTAAGCCCATTGCTTCTTGTCCTATCCTCAGAAGTTAAGGAGAACAATTTTTCACTCTCTTCCTTGTAACATCCTTTTACATACTTGAAAACTTATTTCCCTGCTCAGTCTTCTCTTCTCCAGATTAAACAAACCCACATAGAAAATTAGGCTCGTAACATCCCTTGATTTCAGTGGAGGTTAGGAGTCTAAGTAGATTTGTGGAGCTGGGTGATTAAATGACTCTCCCAAGGTCACACAAGAAATCTATGGCAGAGGTGGGAATTGGATTTAAAACTCCTGAGAGACAATCTACTGTTCTAATTTTCTTCCTTGAATTATGTAAAAGCTTACCCAGCATATACCTTCTTTTTAGACAGATGACGTTGTTTTCACCAGATGCCCAGTTATTGTTCTATTTAATTCCCAAGATACTATAGATGTCTTCATTATTTCTGAAAAAGGCCTCTTTTTATTAAATGATTACTGTGTAAGATTCTTTGTTGCATTAGATACTTGCTTTGTGTCTGACCTTATTGCAACAAGGTTACAACCTGCCTCTGGGAGAGGAGTGTAGTTAAAAGCATAGAGACTGGATAACCACAACTAGAACAATCAATCTGAAAGATTTGACCTGAGCTGCCACATTAGGGTGAAATCCTGGCCCAAGTGATGTCAATGGCAAAATGCCCACTAACTTTAAGGAGGTCAGGATTTCTGTTTCTAACTGAGCCTGCAGTGAGCTTGAATAACCTCTCTCTATATTTATTTTAAAATGTAGTATGTGTGCAGCACCTTAGAGTGGATTGTTCCCATGGCCTTGGTCAATAAGAAGCGTAGTGAAGTATGAACACAAAGAGCAATTAGCAGAGGTGATACAAGCTTGTAGCAACCACTATCAATGTGTAACTGACATTGTTGAAAGTGGCACATGAGGAGCAATAAGTGGAGCCCACCATCGATCCCTGAGCATTTCAGATTCCTTGCAAAGGGGTTTAACAAAAGGTGAGACAACCCAATGAAAAACAACAAAAAGGAGTGATTTTCAGCTCTCCTTATTCTCCCTGTATCAATCCACTGTTCTCCAAGGCAGCATGGAATGTTCAAAAGGTGCTTAAAAATTGCCATTCTTAAGATTTTTATGAAATAAAGATTTAAAATTCCAGTTAAACAGAAACCTCTGCAACAGCTTTACCTGTGCTCCAGCATGGCACAACGCTGTGTTCTTCTTCTCATTAAAGTATTTCAGCACCTTGAGGAACAAGCCACAGATCTCCACCAGCTCCCCCCACACCAAATATCTTATCCTCCCTTTCCCAGCTGGAACTCAATGTGCTTTCTCTTCTTCACAGGGGAAGAGGCAGGAAGGAGTCGGTTCTAAGCAGATTTCCTCCCAGTGCTAGAGACCTGGGGCCTCATTCCTCACCGCATGACTCCAGATTTACACCACTGTGAGGCCATGGGTTTTAATGAAGTGTAAAACTGGAATAACAGTGGTGCATGAGGCTCCTGATCTGTTCAGAACCAACTGGGCACAGAAGGAAGTGAACCCACCTAATTGCTCCTGTAACTGCCATAGAAGCGAGAATTGATGGAGTTGATGCTCCTTTCAGGAACCATAAATGTTGAAGCAGGCCCTGATTTTACCAGCGTAAATCAAGAGTCACTCCATTGCCCCAGTGCAGTTAATGAGAGTAGCATCAGGGCCAGTGGGTGCATTCTTCCAAAGGTGCAGAGCAGACTTCATTCTCCTGCGCCTTTAAAAAGCAGTGGTGTCAGACCAGAGAACATTCTAGGTGTGCGTCTCCTTCAGTGCTTTCAGGTATACAATTTCACTGCAAAGTACTGGGACAGACCTGCTGCTTGGATTATACACACTGGACAAGGAGTGGGGGAATGTATGCCTCCCTGTCACACACAGTCTGACACTTCCAACACGTACCCGTGTTGGTCTGTGTAGCTCGAAAGGCTACTTTCTTTCACAAGCAGAAACTGGTCCAGTAAAAGATATTACCTCTCCCATCTTGTCTTACTTTGACACAGTCTGGCAAATACAAGGTATTTTGGAGGCGGGGGCCAACCAATTACTAGTTTAATGATGATAGCACCTAGGGATCCATAGAGCCAAACACGAGACGGACCCTGACCAGAGGAATGTACAGTTCAAATAGAACAGACAAAAGGTGAGAGAAAGGAAATACTTTTCTCTCCTTTTTGGAGATGGGGAAGTGAGGCAGAAAGAGGGGAAGGAAGCCACTAAACCATTTCCATTGGCATTTGCAATATATTTGACAGTCACTGGAACTAAAATTCAGCTTGTTTAGATCTACATTACACAGGGTTCTGCTGAAGTAAAAGCATGTTTTCATGTGTCTGCTGTGTCTATAAATGCCTCTTCCTGCCCCTCCATAGATTCCTAGATTTTGAGGCAACTGGAGTCCATTGTGATCATCTAGTCTGACCCCTGCATACAGGGCCGGCTCCAGGCACCAGCTTAACAAGCAGGTGCTTGGGGCAGCCAAGGGAGAGGGGCGGCACCTGCGGCAATTCGGGGGCAGCAGGTCCCTCACTCCCTCTAGGAGCGAAGGACCTGCCACTGAACTGCCGCCGCCGATCGCGGTCTTTTTTTTTTTTTTGCTTGGGGCGACAGAAATGCTGGAGCCGGCCCAGTCTGCAAAACACAGGCCATAAGATTTCACATATTCATTTCGCCATGAAGCCCATAAGTTCTGTCTGAGCCAGAGCACATCTTTTAGAAAGATCCCTTAGAAGCCAAGGGCTGTGGCACCATCTCCATCCTCCGTCAGTGCTCTAGGTCCTTTTCATGAGTGTAAGAACTTTGCCTCCAGCAAGAGAACAGCTTTTATACAGTTTCACAACAACTTTAGTGCAGTTTTCCCCTAGGCTACAATTCAAACTAATAATTCTCCACCAGAGCAGCTCCAACAGTGCCAGCCATGGTGGAAGCTGCAGTTTAGGAATGTTGCAGATATTTTACCACCATGTTGTAGGGTTAGATGATATCCAGGGAAACAGCTGGACCCCCTGTGTATTATAGAGCCTACCACTGATATTACCACTGGAGCTGCACTGGTGGAAAATTATGGGTCCATTTTTTTCCTAGTGTAGACAGGGCCTTAGGTCCAGATCCATAAAGCTATGGAGTCACTTCAGCCCCAAATTGAGGTTCCATTTTAGGCTCCACTGCAATCCACAAAGCTCCCTATCGGCTTCTGTCTAACCCTGCCATCACTAAACTCACTCAGTGCCTAAGCTTTAGTTGTAAAAGCTCCCTAGGCACCAATGTTTCTGCTTCTGGGCATGTGCACTGCTGCCTCCCTCTAGGCACCCAGACACCCATCTGTTGCCTAAGCCCATAGCGATCCGCAAACCAGGGGAAGACATTCCTCCTAAATCAATATGCAAGTGTAACCCTTCTGCCAGGTGGAGCCAGCAGCAACAAGGGCCGGGTCCAATATCTAGGGGTTCCTTTCCACCGATACAACACAGAACTGGCTCGAGCCCCACTCCCCCCCCCCTAGTAACCTGGGAAAATTACATACCACCCCGGGCGCCTCTGAGAGGCAATATTTCCCCACTCCCCACACTACAGAGTCCGAGTGTAGAAAATAAACTTTTAATAAAAAGGGAACACACTCGTAGTTAAGTTGGGAAAACACCGCAAACAGGGTTCATAAACATAAATCATGAGTAAAAGACCCACCCCAAATAGGTTGGGCAGTGCCTTTTTCCCCTCAGGTTCTTAAGTCTAGCAACCCAAAAGTCCCTTTAACATGCCCGTCCCTTCTCTGCACCCCACTCACAGTTGCTGTCCTTGGTCAGCGTAGACCCAGAGTTTGGAGGTGTATCTGCAGAATTCACTTCCCACCCTGGATGGGCGGTAAAGAGGCATCTTACTTGCTCCTCTGGCCACTTGCCAGCTGCCTGCTCACCGCTGTCGCCATGTCCCTTCACCAGCCACTCTGCTGGCCGCTTGTCGCGCCTCTCCTCTGTCGCTCTGCTGGCTGTCCATCACCATCTGCTGCCGTCCGCCTCTCTGTTGTGACCTCTGCACAGCAGCCTCTTAGGGCTTGTCTACACTGGCAAGTTTTGTTGCCAAAAACTGCCTTTTGGTGACAAAACAGCGATAGCGTACACACTACAATGGGACTTTTGTCAAAATTTTTTCCAGTTTTGGCAACAAAAAACTTCCACCCCGTGAAAGACTTTTGTCTTTTCCCCTCCCTGTATTGTCAACAAACAGCCAGTGTAGACACCACGCCTTTTTTA